GAGGGGGGGGGGGGGGCTGAGCGTGGTTCTTGAAACATGTAGCTCTCAAAAAATATCAAAATTATTGATGAACTTGCCAATATCATCATGTTATGGTAATATAACTTATTATTGATATTTCATACAGATATCCACAACAGGATGCATGTGTTTAATTTCTTAATTAAGTATGGAACTGACAAAGTTATTTGTAAAATATTAATTACCTTGCATTTTATAAAAAATATTTGATAGCTGAATTGAAACTTGTGTAAATTGATAACTAAATGTGAATGTGTTAACAAGTGCTTCATGGACAACAAACTGAAGTAAAATAAAATAATCAGCTAACAGCCACAAAGGTAATCTAATCAAAGAATCGACATTCATTTCTAGACAGCACAGTGCAGTAGAAAACTGTTGATATCAGTCAGTATATGAATTCTGTATCAATAAATTCTCATAGGATGAAAGAAACTGTTCTAGCTTTAAATTGGGAATTTGCATCACACTAATTACCAATCCAGAAGTAACCCATTAACATTTACACGAAGCTCTGGCCATAAATAATCCCTGATTGGTGTCCTAAGTTCATCACTACAACATACCTAAATTCAAAAATCAAATCCCCAAAATCCAATTTGTATCAGGTTTGCCCATATCCCACATCCCCGATATCTAGTTGATATCAAGAAACTATAATACTCTGAGTCAGGTGACCTATATAAAAAGGAAGGTCATATGGATAATAGCAGCAAGAACCACCTAAGAAACAGCAATGTGACAAGATTAAACATCCAAACTGCCATGGCATCCATCAGAAACAGATCTACCGCCAGACACAACTGATTACCCACTTCATTACAAATAGATAGTAACAGCACAAACAAACCATTCAGCCACTTCTATGAAATGGAAAACTATGGGAACCACAAATCATTAATAACTCATGGAACAAATTACTCATCCCAGGATCACAAATCCATCATTCTTCAATTTAATGATAACAACTTCAAAGTACAGGTAGCACTCGATTTACGCCGGGGATGCGTTCCTGGACGAACCGGCGTAAATTGAAACTCTTTTATAATGTAAATCAACGGGAAGTCAATGACATGCGTTCCCAACTCCCAAACATTGACGAGTAATATAATGGCATTACATGTAAAGCTTGAAATAACGTAAATAAAATAAAGGGAATTTAAAAATTTATTTTATGCACTTACAATCGGCAATTCGTTGGTCCCCGCGATTGAAATCAGTAGATAAGCAGAATGCTTAAGGAGTGAACAACTGCCCACCTCATGAGATCTGCCCTTAAAACTGAAATAGCCCACTAGCACAATGTTATTTGCTTTCTAGGAAGAATGTACATTGCCTGATATACCTCAAGTTTCATAACAGTCATACTTGTAATTGTTGCTTTACAAAAAAAAATGTAATTTGTACAAATGCTTACAACCTACCTTCATACAAAATTCGTACATCAAACTGCATAATTATGACCTTAAAAATTTGTACTACTCCACCAATACTGTCAGGATAAATCAAGAAGAATGAGATGGGAAGGGCATGTGGTGTACATGGATGGGGCAAGAGGTATTGGTCAGGGAAGCATGAAGGGAGGAGACTGATGGGGAGACGTTGTAGATTTGAGGATAATACCATGTGGAAATATCCAAATGTTGCACACGGCCAAATCTGGCTTATATGGAGAATACTCCAATTTCAATAATGATTTTATGGCCAAAAACTTCCAGACAGTGAGCATGTCATAAGCATCAGTCCAAAGTTCAGGTCTTTTCAAATGAACAACCTCACATAACCTTGCCAATATTTCCCAATAACAATGCTGGTTCACTGTTCAATCCTGTCAAACAGAATCAAAGTGAACAGTGCCCCTTTGATAAAACAAACAAAGTCTAGCTCTTTCATTGTCTTTAACATCTTCTTGACCCTCTGTAAACCTTACATGCCACTCAAACGACTCTTGACGTTTCCGCAGCATCAGCACCATAAACTTCTGTTAACATCTGCAGAGTTTCACTGGTACTTTTGCCAAACTTTGCAAAACACTTGATGTTGATGCACTGCTCCAACAACCTATCACATACACTTCTGTAACTCTGCCACTGCTTTGCTACTACTAACTTATTTGCTTCATCGACACACAAGACTCAACCACATACACATCATAACTTGTTGCTGCTCAGTTACTGCTCTTTTGCCACTCAATGTGACATATATGCAGGCATTCTAGGAATATAATTGTCACACCTCATATGGGCAGGAAGAATACAATATTTGCATTTTAGAAGGCACTTAGTTATAGAAATTTAGCTTACTGATAAAATGGATTATTGGCAAAAAAATCATTTACACTTAACTGTTATTAATATACTTCAAATATGAACTGGCCAAAACAAAACTGATCAGGGCATTCATTATACCATATTTACATGGAATATCTGTTCTAAGTTCGGCAAGACCTCTTTTCCTCCTTTTTAATATATAGTTACACACAACCGTACACATGATACATATGCATGACCAATCTACAATGAGTCATCTTATAAAAAGTAGGTTAACATTCAGGAACATACACGAGTGACCTGTTCACAATGAAAGCACAATTCTCAACAAAAACTTTCTTAAAATCCAATAAGCTATCACTCTCTCTGAATTCCTGTATATTCATTTATTAAATACATACATACATACATACATCTTTCTGTATCGGGGGAACATAATGAATATTCCAAGCAAAAATAGCTAGTTGTATGGAAGTAAAAATAACTTCATATCACCCTGGGGTATGAGTAATCAACCATTCGTAGCAGGGTGCTGAAAATAATCTGAACTTTCATATGCTGATTTTATGGCACTCAGAATTACACATAAAACACCAATAAAATTCCATATTCGTCTGAAGAACTGACACACTTCTTGCATAAAAATGGGGAAAAAGTAGTCATGTATGAATAAAATCTAGCAATAATGGAATTTTAAAATATTTACATGTCTACTACTGTAACCTTACAGATGGAAACACAACACAGAGAACAACACCACCAGAGGTGATGTGAAGGGGGCAATTTATCAATAGACTTCATAGCTTGTTAGTGTGAGTGTTACAAAGAGATCATGTGAGGAATCCACCATTTTGCAGTTTGGAGAAAGAGCCCAGAAGAAAAGAGAAAATCAAACTCTAACTTTGACCAAAGAATATTATTCAAGATCGCCCTGATGATGAAGGCAGTATGACCTCTGAAACGTTGGTGGACATCTACCATACTACACGGTGCAACATCCCAGAAGACAGCAATCTTCATACTCACCGCTGTGAAAACCTCAAATCCTACGATCAATAATGTACTCATTGCCAGGAAAATAAAACAATTTTCACAACATCCTTAATCAAATGAGCACTTACACATTTAATTTCAAGTATAAGATGTGTTTTCACTACTGATTTAGTTATTTTTCCTTGGAATAGAAAAGTTAACATACATACATACATTCATACATAAATGCTGAAAAGAGCACTACCTCTCCACTAGTGCCAAAGGAGATGGAAACAATTTATCACAGTTTTTGGGAAGACCATTAACCTACAATAAATACATTATGGTAAATGAATTAGATGTTACCTGTTTCCTGAACTCACAAAATTCATGATTCTACTCCTGAACCTGTTTTATCTGAGTGCTCTATATGCTAGTCCTTTCATATTCACACTGTAGTTGGAAGGCAACTGAAAAAATAAAGCACAAAATTACCAATGTAGTTTGGAACTTATAGGCACAGACAAATAACATCCTATTCAGGAGATAACAGATACCTTCCAGACTCTGGAAGACATAGCTTCATGTGAAAAAGAAGCATATGCCCAAAACCACTACAAGACAAGCGAAGCAGCCAACCCTGTAGTAATATGCAGTGCAATAAATTTTTTTTCCATAAAACTGAATTAAAATTATAAACTGTATGTAGTATTTCATGTAAATATGACATCTACTTCAAGTCACAACTAAATGTATTTAATTTATCAGAGAAAACAATTTTTGAACTTTGACTTGACACAGAATCATGAAAACTACAGCAGAAAAAACAAAATCCTACATTTAGTCAGTCAGTCAAAAAGGTTGAAGTAAACTGTGCTACCTCTTTCAACCCCAGTGGTAACTAAATGTACCACATGCTCTAAAATTCAATAACTCTGTATTTTGCTAATAGTGCATTTATGGGTTTCATATGATTCTTAGTAAAACAGTGATTTAGTTCCAGAAACAACATACAACTGATCCTTGTAATTAATGGAAATGTGGTGTTTTTTCTAAAACCTTACAGGTACAGCATTTAAATTTTTGTGGCCCATGTGCACATACAGATTTGACTGTAATTTAAACCATCTCAAAGTATTGTATGTTACAAAATATAATGCATTTATTAAGCTAAACACTCAAAATATACTTTATTATTAAGAATGAACCCACTTACCTGCACAGAGTTTCATAATAGTCAGTCTTTATAAACACACCAATTTACTTCCAGTTATTCCAATTTTTTACATGTTTAATAAATTATTCTTCAAATTTAAACTCATTATGTTATTAGAACGTATTGAAGGAGACTGTACTTGGCTTAGAACTGCTACAGGCATGTTTGTTTGGACAAGCCTCATAATGACATGAATACAATCTTTCCCAGAATCATTTCTTGGTAGTCTGATTACAAAACAGTTCATAAACAGTGAGGAGTTTCAAAAACAAAATGTAAAAATTGTCTAAGGCATACAAGTCCAAATTTTAGAATAAATCCCTTTAGCAGACACACATCACAAGATTGAGTAAGCTTCATAAAAAGTTTAATTCTGCTGCTCGTGCTGGTGTCAGAGGCCGAGCAACAAAATTCATTCGAACCAAAGGCTTTGTTTCTATGACAAAAAGAAAATTTTATTCCATTCCCTCCAATGAAACAGAGTTCATTTGAGAATTTAAATCAACTTGGAATGTGTAAACTCTGCAGTGAATCATCAAAAATAATCTAAAGGTTATTTAAACAGCTATGCAGTCAGTGTAACAACTTCATACTACATGTGATATGGCAAGAACAGTTTGGTTGTACAAAAGCTGAGAGTTCAAGACTAATACAACAGATTGGAAGCAAGATTACCTGAGGGACAAATCTACCAATCAGACCAAGAGAAGTCTAAACAGATTTGGTCTGGTAGTCCAGAAAACAGGGTGAACATAAACATATCCGGCACGAAACATGTGGTTAGGACGACAACAAGATGATACCACAACCATCTGCATTTGATTATGGCGTCAAACTCCAATGTAAAATCTTTGAACTGTAACGTTATAGTAGTGACTCAAACACAAGATTGTTCTATAATGTGAGAAAATTGAAATATTTGAGTGCTTAATATCCAGCAATCGATAATAGAACTCATACGATGCCTCAACATAGACAATTTGCATCACGTCATTGCGCATCACCTACCGTGAAGATGCTCCATTAACCTAACCTAACCCAACTCAACCCAACAGGGGTAATCAGCGTTACCTGAACATGGCGACCTGGGCACAAATTTTCGAAATAGACCACGGATGGTCCAAAATTGCTGAAATTTTGTATGGACGCTGTACCACAGGTAAGTAATAAAAATTCATAACCTTTTGTGTCACAACACTTGTAATAAATTCACACGAAAGCATCAAAGTCGCGAGGTGGAAGAAACGCGAAATCGGCCACGATTACCAACATCCAACTTTATCAACAAGGAATTATGCACAAAGACGCTTCTTTATATTTTCTAACTGGTGCCTGTACGTGCACAGATACGTCATACGACTAACAAATGCACAAAATGACTGCAGGAAGATTTTTATGGCGAAGAAACTGATAGTGACTAAGGTTTGTAAGCGCGTTGTAGCTTCATACGTAAGGATTCGCACACAGAAATCACCATACTTAAATAAAGGTGTTAAAATTGAATCCAAATACATTCAAGTGATGGAAATTAAGAAAAACAACAAATAAATATACAATATGAATTGCAAAAATCAAAATCGTTTTCGAAAATCACGACTGTTCGTACTCATTTAAAGTAGCGTACAGCTGGCAGCATGTGTAAAAAGACTTTCCGAATTAGAATGCTGATGGCGTGCTGTTGCAGTCAGGTAAATCAATAACCCTTCTATGTAGTGATTGGCCTACAGCAGACCTCACAAAATTATGAACTCTAACGGAGAAAACTCTAAACAGAATATTATGTGGTTCGATTTGACTGCAAGGACCTGTACATCAGCTTTCACATACGTGAGATAGATGTCAGCCCCGGAAGTGAAAGCCAGTCGTTATTGATTTTTGTCGAGAGGCAGTGCAGTCTCCGTCATTCAATGTTAGCCTTAGAATTTAGCTAAGAGGTATTCAACTTTTTAATTTCAAGCTTTCGTACATCGGTACTCAAACTAATATGTTCATCGGGATAATTAGCAACATTTATTTCCTGCGATAAATGTTAAACTACTGTGTGCTTCGTAGAGTGAAGTCGAGGACGTTCTCGTTACAGTGACGTATGCAAGATGGAGACAGGTAGAACATTACACTTACGGTCTGATGTACGTGTACGTGTGAAATGCAGAGATGTGGCATTAAACTACACGTGTGCACAAAAGAGGTGTGTGTTTCCTATGGTGACAGCCAAATAAATTCAAGACGTACCTGTTTTACAGAGGTTGGACGTGTCTAAATGTGACGTTAGTGTGGATATGTATACATATAGTATATTTCTGACAAGCTGGATCTTTGTAATATCTCGATACATTTTAAAATAAAATTTTAAAATGTGTACTAATAATTCTTTAGCGTAAGCAGACATCAAATGCAATACAACAACCACAATTGCAGAAAAAATGCATAAGTGACGTGAGCCAAGATTATTTTGAGGTCGACAACAAGGTAAAAGATGTAAAATCTTAAAAGTGTAAAGCTATGGTAATGCCTCAAACACAGGATTCTTCTATATTGTCAGAACATTGAAATATTAGAGTGCTTAATATCCAGCAATCGATAATAGAACTCATACGATGCCTCAACATAGACAATTTGCATCACGTCATTGCGCATCACCTTCAGCGCAGATGCCCCTTTAACCTAACCTAACCCAATGCAACACAACAGGGGTATTCTGAGTCAGCTGAACATGGCGCCCTACTCACGAATTTTCGATATAGACCATGGATGGTCGGAAATTGCTGAAATTTTGAATGGACGTTGTGCCACAGGTATGTAATAAATATCCATACTCTTTCGTGTCACAACACTTGTAATAAATTCACACGAAGGCATCAAAGTCGCGAGGTGGATGAAACGCGTAATCGGCCACCATCACCAATATCCGACTATTTCAACAAGGTGTTATGCATTCGACATATTTTAAAATAAAATTTTTACATGTGAACTGATAGAACATAAGCGTAAGCAGACCACACATGCAAGTCAACAACTACAATTACGTAAAATCAAGCTTAAGTGACCTGAGACAAGAGTCTTTCGAAGTCAACCAGAAGGTATCCAATGTAAAATCTATGGTACAGGCTCAAACACAAGATTGTTCAATAATTTAAGAACATTGAATTATCTGAGTGTTTAATATCCAGCAATCGATAATAGAACTCATATGATGCCTTAGCATAGACAACTTGCACAACGTCACTGCGCATCACCTACTGCGCAGATGCCCCATTAACCTAACCTAACCTAACTTAACCCAACTCAACCCAACAGGGGTAATCAGCGTCACCTGAACATGGCGACCTGTGCACGAATTTTCGAAATAGATCATGGATGGTCCGAAATTGCTGAAATTTTGTATGGACGCCGTGCCACAGGTAAGTAATAAAAATTCATACCCTTTCGTGTCACAACACTTGTAATAAATTCACACGAAAGCATCTAAGTCGCGAGGTGGAAGAAACGTGAAATCAGCCACCATCACCAATATCCGACTGTTTCAACAAGGTGTTATGCACAAGATATATTTTAAAATAAAATTTTAACATGTGTACAAATAGGACTTAAGTGTAAGCAGACCACATATGCACGTCAACAACTACAATTGCGTAAAATCAAGCCTAAGTGACGTGAGTCAAGTATCTTTTGAGGTCAACTAGATGGTATCCAATGTAAAATCTTTGAAGTATTCAGCTATGGTACATTCTCACACACAAGATTGTTCAATAATTTAAGAACATTGAATTATTTGAATGCTTAATATTAAGCAATCTATAATTGAACACATATGATGCCTTCGCATAGACAACTTGCACCATGTCACTTCGCATCACCTACTGTGCATATGCCCCATTAACCTAACCTAACCTAACCCAACGCAACCAATCAGGGGTAATCAGCGTCAGCTGAACATGGCGCACTGCACACAAATTTTCGAAATAGACCATGGATGGTCGGAAATTGCTGAAATTTTGAATGGACGTCGTGCCACAGGTTATGTGATAAATATTCATACTCTTTCATGTCACAACACTTGTAACAAATTCACACGAAGGCATCAAATTCGCGAGGTGGAAGAAATGCGTAATCGGCCACCATCACCAATATCCAACTACAGTGAAACCTCTATCCATCGTTCCCGGAACTATCGTTTTCCCGGATGCATCGTCCGTTTTCTTCGGTCCCGAATACATCCCATATAAAATAATGTTACATTTTCCCGCTTCTATCGTTCCTCGAACTATCGTTTTATCGCATCAATTGTTCAAAAATCTTAGTCCCGGCCCACAATTTTCCCGCAATGATTGTTTCTGAGAAATTAAAATGCTGGGTTTTGAGATAAATTAATACCGAAAGACGCACAATGTTTTTGGAATACACAGTAGCGGTAACCTGTTATGTCGCCCAACCAGCACAGATCCTTTTGGAATGAGGG